CATTTTTTAATCCCTTATTGTTACGAATGAATAAGAAAATAGAGTTTAGTTTACTAAGTTAATAACAGATGGCAACACTAAACATATTCTTTTGATATTTTAAATTGATATATTCTGTTCTGAAAATAGGTCTTTAGTGTACTTAATTTGTAACTGTATGTTTATTAATGAGTTGTGTGTTTATTATGAGTTATACTATTCCTATATATTTGCTATTTTTTTTCAGTGAAAACAATGGCGTCTAGAGGCTGCATCAATTAACCAGACTTGTTTTGTAATGTGTGCGGCTATCTCACAGACAAAGGCCACCGAAAGACATTTACACCATTTCTGAGAAAAGCTTATGAACTATACTTTGATTCAAAGGTTGACAGCGGCAAGTCATGGGCACCACAGTTCATTTGTTTGACATGTGCATGCAACTTACGGGGTTGGATAAGGAATGCTAAAAATAACAACCATCTGGCATTTGGAGTTCCTATGATATGGCGTGAGTCAAGCAACCACATCACTGACTGGTATTTCTGTTTGACAAATGTCACAGGTTTCTCATACAAGACTCGTTCATCTGTGAAGTATCCAGATATTCCCTCGGTTTCTAAACCAATTCCACATGATCCAGTCAGTTGTCCAATACCAACATCACTTACAGAATACAGAGTCGATGATGCAACACAAGAAGAAAGTTCGTCTTCCAGCAACATGGCAGACTCTGACTACAATCCTGATGATGATGAAATTCATTTGATTGATAATGATGATCTTTGCGACCTTGTACGGGACCTGGCACTAACAAAAGGTCAAGCTGAACTGCTAGGTTCACGTCTGAAAGAGTTTAATTTGCTATCACCAGGTACAAGAACTTCACAATTTCGACATAGACACAAAGAACTCGTGCAGTTCTTTGCAATGAGTGACAATATGTGCTACTGCACTGACATCCAAGGTCTTATGTCAAGCCTCGGTGTAGAACATAAGACTGAAGCATGGCGTCTATTTATTGATTCCTCCAAGGCAAGTTTGAAGGCTGTATTATTACACAATGGAAACATGTATGCATCAGTACCGGTTGGTTATTCTACTCATCTAAAAGAGACGTACGAAACCATGTCGCTACTTCTTGAAAAAATTTGCTATCGCGATTACAATTGGAATATGTGTGGTGATTTAAGTGATCACTATTCTCATAGGAATGCAGACAGGGTACACCAAGTACTGCTGCTTTATCTGCGAGTGGGAGAGCAGAGATAGGAAGCACCACTATATAAATAAGAATTGGCCCATTAGAGATAAAATGGAGCCAGGTAGTAAAAACGTCCTGCATGTGCCATTGGTTGAGCGTGAAAAAGTTCTTATGCCTCCACTTCATATAAAGCTGGGGCTCATGAAAAACTTCGTGAAGGCATTAGACAAAAACTCAGATGCTTTTCGGTACCTATGCAACAAGTTTCCAGAGTTGAGTTATGTGAAAGTGAAAGAAGGTGTATTCATAGGTCCACAAATAAGGAAGATCATAGCAGACAGTCACTTCGAAGATTTACTCAGCAGAACTGAAAAAAAAGCATGGTTGGCATTACAGTCTGTTGTAGCCAATTTCCTTGGAAATAATAAATCTCCTGACTATGTAAATATTGTGCAGAAGTGCATTAGTGCGTACAAGTTAATGGGTTGTAACATGTCCCTCAAGATTCATCTCCTCGACTCACATCTCGACTTCTTTCCAGAAAACCTAGGTTCTGTTAGTGATGAACATGGTGAACGTTTCCATCAGGACATCTCGGTGATGGAGTCACGCTATCAAGGCCGATGGAGTGCAGCAATGTTAGCCGACTATTGCTGGATGCTTCAGCGCAACATGCCAAATTGTCAGCACAAACTTAAGTCTACAGCCAAGAAATTCAAACCTAACTAACTTTTAATTTAAGGAACTTTACGTTATGCCTATGTATTTTACAAGTGTATTATATTTTAAATTATGTGTATTTATGTTAAGTAGTACTCTATTCAGCGATATATGCTCTACTGTAACTTGCCTGCGAGTTGTTTGCTTTGATACAATATTAAACATATATAAATGGTCAATGCCAAATAACTCAACAACGGTGGGTGATAGAGACAAACGGTTTCTATATTTGTAATCAGCATGTCTTACTTGTCTTAAAACAAGTGTTGGTTTCCAAGATATTTTCCGAAATTTTTTTTTTGTTATTCAGTGATATTTTAAAATGTTGAGTGTTAATAATTTAAAGTCTAATATGATGTTAATTTTATTTTTATTATTTCCCCCTCCTCCTCTTGCAGCTTGAAACAAAGGTATATTATTAGGGAAGGGTTAATCCACCTTCCCCTAGTTTCATCTCTAAGTTCATCATCTAATATAATATAATACATTATAATAGCTTATTTATAATTCCATTTAACTGGCAAGATTTTGTAATAAAAAATAACATGTAATAAAAAATAACATAGTAACAGGGTTGTGACAGCTTTTTTTGGTGATTAAGATAGATAACTTTCAGACATGGAGCAATCTTTAATTTTGAGTATGTTTATACTTATGTTAAATGAGATAACTGGGTAAAAATTGCAGTGAGTGGAACCTGGGAACTACCAAAACCCTAAAACTTGTGCCACCAGCCCCAAATGTGAAGGTAATAAGTTACCAAGTTTCATACAAATGTCATTTCAAGCTAAATTTATACTCATCAATAGATTTCAAATTTCATCTTATAATGTTTTAGCATTTGAAAGTTAAGACAATGTAAAGTTTATAATCCTCTCATTTTGGAGAGGGTGGAAACTTTACATAGTCAAAATTTTCAAATGCTAAAGTATTATTAGATGAAATTTGAAATCTGTTGATGAATATAAATTTAGTTTAAAATAGAATTAGTATAAATCTCTGTAACTTATTGCCCTCATATTTGGGGCTTGGGGGTACAAGTTTTGGGGTTTTTGTAGTTCTCAGGCTCTAATCATTTAAATTTTTTTCAAAGCATCCTAATTTGATATAAAAAAAAACATACCCAAGTTTGAAGTTTGTTCAATGTCTGCAAGTTATCTCAATTACCAAAAAAAGTTGCCATGATCCATGAAATAGGGAAAATCTTTTTTTTGTCTACTTTTTGACTTTTCTATTAGTTTTGCAGCGTTGATAAAAAAAAATACAGTTAGAGTGCCTAACTTTATTTTTATATTAGTCATTTTATATATTAAAAAGATTGTTTATATATTTAAAAAAATTGAATTCAATATTGTTTTTAGGGTGGCACACATCGGTCAAAAAATTTCAAAAAAGGTAAAAAATATACTTTGGGGCCGTGTGCCACCCTTTAATTTTTTTAAAGTTTTTTAAAGTATATATATATATATATATATATATATATATTTTTTTTTTACCTTTTTTATATATAAAGTATATATATATATATATATATATATATATATATATATATATATATATATATATATATATATATATATATATATATATATATATATATATATATATATATATATATATATATGTTATTAGAATTGAGTTAAAGATTATTTGACTTCAACTTTATTTTTTGCAATTTGAGTTGTTTTTGATAATTTAATAAAATTGACAATATTTACTTTCATACAATCTTGTTTTTAAAAGTTTAATTGAATTATTGCAATTTTATTGGTTGATAAACTGAATTATGTTTTGAAGTAAGCCATACAATAGAAATTTAAGTATCACTAAAGTTACTGATAACTATTTTTAATTTTTAGTATTTAAATTTATAGATAGCTTGGAAATATATTTAAATTTATAGATAGCATGGAATGATTTGTGGTTGGGAAAACTAAATAAAAGTCTAGTTAAACTTAAATTATGGGCTGAGAAAAGCAGCTATAATTATGCATTCTTCAACTATGTTTAAGTAATTTAAAATACAGTTCAGTTGGTTTCCAAGCTTTTTATTTTTAAAACCGTAACATAAATCACTTTCTGTTATTAGATTTAAATTTATATGTAGGTTCAAACAAAAACTAAAAAGTCGTTCAATAAGATTCTACAAATGATAAAAGTTTTAACTGCTAAAACTATGTTAGTGTTTAAAGTGGCTGAGAGAAGCATTATTTTAAGACATTGTGATAATAGATCGTTATTTTTTCAAAGAGTATTTCAAAATATTTTTATATCTTGTACCAAAAAACAAATATTATCAATTCACTTGTTGAAAATTACGTCTAATAATTTTGAGATTAGTTTAAAAAGAAAAGACTTAGACATTTGGGCTCAAGATTGGTCTTGAGCCCAAATGGGTCTTATGGATCCCAAATGGGTCTTTAACTTTAAAAATTTGGAAACTTAAGATTTAAAGACCAAGACATCAAAAAGTCAACCCAACACCAAAACATTAAAAATTTTCACAAGACCACGGTCAAGACTTACATTCTTAAAAGTCTTACACAATAAAACTTGCACATTTATGTATACTATTAGGACTTAATTTAATGTATTATTTTAACATTTAATACACACGCTATTCTATTATAAAATGTAATTAAGCATGTGTAATATAACTATGTCATTGTATATTATGTAGTGCACTGTTGCAATCTGCAAAAGATAACTTAATAATAACAGAAAACAAACTTGTACTAATAAAAAATGGTGCAAGACCATCAAATATGGCTGACATAATAGGCCAGTAGCCACACAAAAAAACAAAAAAAAAAAAAGTTCAACATTTAGATGTTCTACTTAAGTACTTTCTTTAGTTACAGTGAAACAGACAACTATATATCACTTGATTTTACAACTTATATTTTGATCATCTAGCAAAGACTGGTATTCGTAAAGAAATAGAGTACACATCTTTCTAGATAAAAATCATCATGATAGCCAAAAGTTGCAGTGATCTATGATTTATTATTAATTACTAATCCATCCATTGTATATGCATCCAATATATTTGTATGTGCATGTATTGATTATTGCTATTTTTTATTTAAAATTATAGATTGTCACAATGATACGTGTACACAATGCTATCAAAATCTTAAGGTAATATATTTCCAGATAAAAAATGTATTTTTATTTATTTATAAAAACTGATCTGACTTAGATATTTTTATAGATATAATTAATAATTAATATAACTTATTTGATTGTTTAGATTACATTTTTACTTGTTTTATCTGTTAATATAACTTATAAGGTATAATAAAAAGAAAATTTTATACTTTTTATTATATCTAGGCTTTTCAAAGACAGGAAAAATCATAAAAATTGACCAAGTACAACATAGTTATGCTGAAATTCAATTTTAAAGATTATTCCTGTTTTTGAAAAACCTAGATATACTTAGAAGTATAACATTTTCTTTTTCTTTTTATATTTAAATAATTGAAGAAAAGTTTAAAAATGAATAACTTGTGATCTGGACAAAGTCCCCAGTTTTTGATAAATTGTGTATTGATTTTTCTTTTTATTATCCAACATTAAGTATTGATATTTTTTTAATATTATTCTACATTAAGTGTCTATAATATAGACTCTATATCTATATTCTTTATTTGTTTCTGTCTAAAGCTCTTATTTAAAACTAATGCATTTCATTTAATGCAAATACAATGTAGTTTATTTGATTAATAAAAATTTTTAAAATTAATAAAAATTTTTATTCTAATATTTCAAAATTTATTTATAAAAACTTAGTTCAAATTATGTTTCTGTTCATATGTTTTTGTCCAAAGCTCTTAAAATTTAGCTCAAATGTTTAGTCAAATTTTCTTTGTTTAGAATCTTAAATTCTGGAACCAGCTCAGCAACAGTATATGTGAGCAAAAATTTGAAAATCAAGTTAATTCTTTCGAAACGCTATTGAATGTGTTTAAGGAAATTTTATTGAATGGCAATAATTATCAGGTATTATTGCATGATTTTAACTATATATTTGTATGTATATATGTATATATATATATATATATATATATATATATATATATATATATATATATATATACATATATATACATATATATACATATATATATATATATATATAATTATATATATATATATATATATATATATATATATATATATATATATATATAAATATATATATATATATATATATATATATATATATATATATATATATATATATATATATATATATATATATATATATATATATATATATACACACATATATATATATAATTTAGTAGAAAATCACTTAACAAAAATTTTTTAACAAAGACTCATCAGAAATGAATGATCAAATTAATAAAACTTCAATTTATACCAAAAAATTAAATTACAGGAAGTCGCAAGCGTTTTAACTACTGTAAATTTTCACACATTTGTGGAATTTGCTGACACTATTATATAAAGAATTTATTAGACATGATTACTTATGCTTTTTTATAAAAATATTTTTAAAAAAGGGAGGATTTAATGTAGCTATTATTTGAACTCACTTATTTTATAGTTTTTTAGGAGAAACTTATTTTCGTGCCTGTATTTAGAAATCAATTCCGATCTTTTGTTTAACAAACATTATTGGTTTGCATGTGTAATTATTTCAAATTTTTCTTGTAGACATAGTATGCATTTTTTCGAAATGTTGTATGCAGGCGCTGTTTTAAGAATGGACCAATTCAGTATAAAATCATCAATACTTTTATTTTTTAGTTCCCATATATATTTTGACAGCATGGTGTCTTTTAAATACTTTTTATTTCTAAAAGATTGCTTATGATTGACAAAAGGTTTTTTCCATTCACCCTCTGTTATACCAATATATTGCTTATCAGGTACATTCTTAGAGGAAACGACACATTTATATACCACATTTTTTGATATCTTCCACTTATTGTGCAATTGTTTTTTTGTTTACAATTACAATTTTCTGTAGTTTTTTCATTTAGGATTTCTTTTTTATTTAACAAAGCATTATTGTGACCTTTTATAATTGTTGTTTTTTCTTGGTTAATATATATATATATATATATATATATATATATATATATATATATATATATATATATATATATATATATATATATATATATATATATATATATATATATGTATATATTAGTATTAGTACTAGTAACTTAAGTTACACACAAAAGTTTTATTTATTGTGTAAAGCATCTCATCTGTTGCAGGCAATAACATCAAATGCCAAACAATGAGAAAGTTATAGTATCTTCGGGACTGCATTATCATTTTGCAGTTTCATTATAATATTAAGTTTAAATTTTGTTCAATGCATTTGTTCAAGCTATTTTTAAAAGAGTTTGTGCTTTGCTGCTTGGCAATATCATCTGTTAGTGAATTCCAAATGGAAGCAACTCTAATGTTAAATAAATGATACCGTTGAACACAGTTCTTTATGATTTCTCTGCGGTATTGTAAATGTTGGTCAGCTTGTGGAGAGACCTTCATAGGTTCTTTGACTACTTTATTTTTAAAATTCTTTTGTTTGTATTTTTGAATTAGATCTCCTTGTTGGCCGTTATTTTCTAGTGATGAGCATTTAATTGCAGAACAGTGAATAGAGTAATTAAGGTTATAAAGATTCTGTGGTGTCTTTGAAGCATGTTCTTGAGATTTCTCTAGAATTTTAATATCTTTTTTTAGATAAGGCAAGCAAATGGACACTGCATACTCTAAGTGTGGACGCTAATAAATTTTATAAAGTTTACTCCATATAGTAATATTTCTAAATACAAATGTATTTTTTAGAAATCCAAGCATTCGATTAGCTTTATATGATACTTTTGTGACTTAATCATGAAATTTAAGATCAGATGACAATATAACCTGAATCTTGTTCAGCTGATGTTACTTCATACTTAATTCTCTGGTGTGTGATAAAATCATATATATAGTAATCAAATTTTAGTAAATAAGAACTCCCTAAAATATGCCATATTCTTAATCACACTCCGTAATCCAAATAATATCACTCTGCAGTCATTCACAATCTTTTTTGCTTTAATTGTAAAATAAAAGTAAATAAAAAAAAATTGTGGCAAGTATCTTTGTGTCATCAGTGTACATTTTACAAAGAGTGTTTGTCTATAAACAAAGTAGGTTCCAAAACCAAACCCTGAGGAACACAGCTAATAACAGGAACCCAATCAGATATTGTTTCTCCTAAAACAACGCATTGTTGACAATTTGAAAGAAAAGAATTTATCCAAGAAGAAAGTTTACCAATAATTCCGTATTTTTTTGGTTTAAATAGTAAATATTGATGTATAAACCTTATTGAAAGCTTTAGCATAATCAAGGAATATAACAACTGCCAATTTTTTATTTGATTTTGCAAAGGTTATAAAATTCATAGTTTCCGAAAGATTTTTGACACTTGATTTATTTGTAACTAATCCATCATAAATGTTCTCTGATTTTATCTCTAATTATTTTCTCAAGTATTTTACAAGTAATAGAAGTGAAGGAAACTGGATGATAATTTGCTGGATCTGTTTTACAGCCTTTCTTATATAATGGTTTCGGACATTGGCTTCAAACCAAAATTCTGGTAATTCAGATTGATCAATTGAATGTTGAAATATAAGTGATAATGATTTGGCTAATGATTTTGCACACTTTAGTAGAACTAATGGACTTACACAGTCAGTCCCAAACAATTTGTTTGTATCTAATTTGAGTAAATACCATTCTACTAAAGATTGGTCTATTTTTAATGAACTGATTGTGTTTGATGTTCTGTTAGGGAAATCCGATAGTGTGTGTACATTTCTGGGTGTGAAAATGGATTGAAATTGCAAATTTAGTATATTTGCTTTATCCACTTTTTTTATGCTAATATCTGATTCAGTGATCAATGCATTAATAGGGCTTGGTGATGAATGTTTAAAATTAATATAGTTGAAAAGCCTTTTTGGATTGCATTTATTGTTTGCTAAACCTTCTTCAAATATTCTAATTGCTGAATGAGTATAGTTTTTAATTTGATTACCAACTGTATTATAAGGATTAACTAGATATGGAACTTTCTACTTTGTATTTCTATTTTTGTAGCCATAGTTGTTCAGAATGTTTAAAAGTAAAGCAAGAATGAATTTAAGAAAAGCTTAATTTAATTACTTTTTGCCAAGTTCTAGAATAAATAGCAACTCCTCCTCTATGACCATTTCTGTCATGTCTGAAAAGAATACAATTTTTCATATTCCGATATGATATTTCATTAAGCAATATTTCGGTAGTAAATATAATGTCTATAGATATAAAGAGAGCAATATCAGATAGTTAAACTAACTTTTCTTTGTTTAAAGATGTAGAATTTGTATAAAGATATTTAAGCTTAAGTGAGTGATCATTTGAAAAGTTATTATTATTATTGATAAAGTTTATAATAGGTTTCTTTTTATTATTTACAATAAAATAACTACAAAACTTTTGCTAAAAGTTTTGTAGTTATTAAGGTTTTCAAGCATCAGTGTTGTTTTGGTCTGTGAGACATCAACGCAGCGAACCGGGTCACCGCACAAAAAGGTATTTGGCAGTTGCAAGTACTTGGTTCCATGTATAATTATTTTCAAATTAAACTATAATTGTTGGTTGCAGCTGGGTTATTTCATATAAGATGAGTCAATTTTTTGAAAATTTCCTGGGTAACCATCTCAGATTTTCCTGAAATTTACACCCCGTATAGTTTGTATGGAAAATAAGATTTCCCTAAAGTTTCAACTCATTACTTTAAAGCATTCTAAAATTATGGCTGTTTTAATGTCTTTTTCAAAAAAGTCTCATTTTCAAATCCATATAAATAAAAAATCAATTATCTTAATTACTTCAAAATCAATCTGATGGCAGTAATCTACCTCAGCTTTTGAAAAAATAAAGATTTATTTTACAAAAATAATTATTTTTGGCCATCTTGGACTTTTTCTAAATGTAGCTCTTTTAGATTTACAAGTAATAATCGCTTTTGGATATGTTGTTTTTGACCATCAATTTTAACTGAAGCAAATTTCTTTCTTACCAGGACAAATCCAAGAATATTCGTCACACTGATGAAAATTCTAGTTATTTGTTTTAAGTGCTTGTGCTTATTTCTAATAGTTTTTTTCTAAGATACCTTTAATTTAAGCGGTTTTTTAACCATTGACTTTGGCACAGAAAAGTATTCTGTTGTTTGTTGGATTGTCCACTATTTAGTGTTAATGTTAATAGGTTTATTTTTTCATTTCTGTTTGATTTTGCAATTTTTTGCTTAATGGCTTCACAAAATAAATCTTGGTCTGTCGATTTTTTCAAATATTTGTATTGAACAACTAATAGAAGTTTCATTATTGGAAATTCCCAAATAATTTGAAATTAATGTTTGGCAAGAATTTAAAACCTCCTTTAACTTTTTTTTACATAACTGGGTCTGTCTCGAATAGACACCGATTTTAAAGGAAAACAACCCAACATCCAGATTGTTTTATTTGCCATTTCAGAACCAGTTGGAATGTATGATGTATTGGTTTCATCATTGATTCTATTATTTTCAATAGTTTCATCTTTCTTACAACAAGTTCTACAGAGTTTTTGACCTGGGCATAACTTCATTTTTAAGGTTTCTTCATTGATTAATGGAAGAGATTCTAAAAAAAAAAAGAAAACCAATCTATATAATTATTACAACTTTTATCAAAAATATAAAACCTTGTATAAACATAAAACTTGTTAAACATTTCCATCACAATTTTTTGATGGAATAAAAAAATAATTTTTAACTTTAAAGATATTTGCAGAAATTTTTTGTAAGATTTTTAACTATTACTTACTAAATGCTTTAGTTTTATGAACTTTATATGGATCACATATAAATATACAGTATATTTTTCATAATGTGCAAGGAACATCTTTTCATAATGAAAACATAAAGAAAGCATTTTTGTTTCTTCTTTCGTGAAGCTTTGAATAACTCTTTTACCAGCCATTTGAGCAAACAAAGTTTTATGGCAATCAAGGCTTAGTAAAACTCAGATATAACATTTTTTATTACTCATTTAAACTCTTAGTTTTTAACTTGTTATTATTTTATCTAAATATAAAAATATGTTATTTCATTTATGAATATTAATAAAATGTATTTGCATCATACATATTCAGTAACTTAAAATAAAGATTGCATTATCATAAATTGAAGTAATACTTGGTCACTATTTTTTTTAACCCCACTTAAAAGTAATTAACTTTTATGTTTTTTTTAAATTCCTTATTTAAGAAAGAATCAAGCAAATTTTTACATTAAAATGTTCATTGGTTTTGAATATATTGACTATATAACAAATTCAAAATGGCCGATTCTGAATTCCAGAAAACTATTATGATAGAAAGTTTAAGTTCAGATATCTCAGCAGCTACCAAGCATCCCAAAATTATTTTTTCTTCTTCTATTCTTATTCTTATTCTTATATTGCATTTCTAAAAGTTTCAAGAGTTAAATTTACTGGAAACCTGGTTAATTTTCTGTTCAAAAATGGACCTAGTTTTACCATTTTAAGGCTAGAGGTTTTTTTAGGGAGGTCTAACTTTTATAATTTTGAATCGAATGTTACAAAACCTATCAAGAATGATGACTACCACCTATATTTTCACAAAATTTGTATATTCTGTATATTCTGCTTTTATTTGCTTTATTAATATTGAAATTTTTTTCTTTAGAGTTTTTTTATAACTTTGAAGTCCAAGATGGCCAAAAATAATTATTTATGTAAAATTAATCTTTATTTTTCAAAAGTTCTGGTAGATTACTGCCATCAGATTGATTTTGAAGTAATTAAGATAATTGATTTTTTATTTATATGGATTTGAAAATGAGACTTTTTTGAAAAAGACATTAAATTGCTTGAAATAGGTTCAGACATTGTTTTTTCAAATTGCCATAATTTAAGGATGCTTTAAGATAATGAGTTGAAATTTTAGGGAAATCTTATTTTCCATAAAACCTATAAGAGGTGTAAATTTCCGGAAAATCTGAGATGTTCATCCGAGAAATTTTCAAAAAATTGACCCATCTTATATGGAATGACCCAGCTGCAACCAACAGTTATAGTTTAATTTAAAAATAACAATAAACGCAACCAAGTAATTGCAGCTGCCAAATACCTTTTTGTGTGGTGACTCGGTTCGCTGTGTTGATGTCTCACAGACCCTTTTATTTAACAGAAAAGAAAAGCATCTATTCATTGATACCAAAACAACAGCTGATGCTAAAAAACCTCAACAACTACAAAATTTTTTCCAAAAGTTCAACAAAAAAGTAAACAATAAAAAGAGCTGTGTTTTTATATTTATTTTTCGGTTTAAACTAAATACTTTGACATTGGTATTGAGACTTAGTAAATGCAAAATATCTTGAATATAGTAAATGTAAAATATCTTTGTTTCTTCTTTTTTTTCAATAAATTACTTTAGTTTGATGAGATGCTAATAAATATGGCTTTTTTGGACTTCGCTAGTTTTTGATTTTTTATAAATATATATTTTACTGCTTTTATAATTGCAAGATTTTGGGCGGTGTTAGGTTTGGTAAATGATGGCAATATCCAGATATGAAGGTTGCATTGATTGAGTGGTGTTAAACTTTCAACAGACTCTCCCAAGTTTTCTTACTTCTACCTCTACTTTTTTTCTCCTGAAGCAGCTACCTCTACATGCTGATATTTGAATCTTCTGTATCCTCATTACTTAACATATCTAAACTACCTTAATCTTCTCTGATGAACCTTATCCAATACACTCACTATTCTTAGTTGCTGTCCTAGATCATGACTTTTTTCTTGTCTTGTTAGAGTCATACCACACATCTATCTGATCATTATTATCTCTCTTGGCAAATACTACGACATATAATTATGGGAGAATTGCCGAAATTGGAACATTGTCTTAACTGGAATTCCTGCTTTTATTTTGAAAATAAGATGTTTCATGGCTATACTTTACAAAATATAATGTCTAAATATAAATAATATAAATGTGTTGCAGTTTACAACAGATTTTTTAAAAGGTACTAAAAGTAAGTTTGAATAAACTAATCCTAATAAAATATACTACAATAGCTATAAAATAATTAATAGGTAATAATAAATTTGACATTAAGTAACAATTCTCATCATCTATCCAAATGTTAACAATGTTAAAAGTTGTGATAATATCATCAAAAAAAGAACTACTAATTTAATATCTAAAGCACAACTACATGAAAATGTATCAGCTTAAATAAGACTGGGTATATAAAACATGGATTATAAACAGCTAAATAGTGAGACCTATAAAAAGTAACAAAAACTAGGTCTTATCTGATGTAGTTAATAGCCAAAGAATTCATTTGTTTTTATGTTGAATAGCATAGTGTAAAACTTTATCAGATTTTACTGCACTCTCCAATATAAAAAAGTATAAGTTGGTCATCTTGTCTTTGTACTTTGTGATGTATAAATCTGCATATCTTGATATAACAGTGTATAAAAATTGTTTGCTGTAATATTTAATATAGTATGGAATAGATTAATAATTAAATTGTATGTTTAGATTCGTAAATGCAGTGGTAGATGTCCTCTGAATTATGTATTTTGTACAAAAAGAAAGAAATGTATAAAGAATTGGGAAGTAAAAAAGAAAGAAAAGGGGATTTATGTTCTTCCACAAATGTATTCAAATATGAGTTTTAGTCCAACTTGGATACTAAATGTTTTATCCCACAAACCAATCATTTTAATAAATCATTTTGACATCTATGATGGGAATGGCTCATGGCAGTACAATAATGCTAATAAGTGGCAGAATTTATCTTCAATTCCACAAGATTTTGGGGTGAAGTTAGATTCTAATACTCTAATGCGTTATACAATATCTTCACCTCAGTATGGATTACGTCTTCTTTATTACACTGTTGACAATAGCAAATGCAAAGTAGGCGACATTGTTCCTTCAACTAATTTTAAGGATATTAAAGTTGCTGCTATATTTATTCATCCTTCGATTTTTAATTCTAGTTTTTCACTTTTAAGCAACAGCAAGGTATACCAAATTAAAAAAGATGATTATTGGAATGAAGGATTTCAATTGAATGAGTTATTTAAACTGTATTCACCTTTGAAAGTCATACCCAATCCAATAGCAGATGAATACATCAAAATTATACCATATTATCACTTAAACTTGTTTTACCAATCTCTGGAGACGTTTGAGCTTTTTAGACCCTTTGGTAGAATTATTCAAAACATTCAAAATTTAGGAAAGTTAGAGGTTGAGGTACAAACAAAACATGGTTTGCTATCATTTGATTCTCAACAGATAAATTACTTTTTATTGGATTATAATAACTCAAAAATAGTATTTCGACCTAGAAAAAATTTTTATGGAACTTTAAATATTTCCATTGAATTTTACAGCTGTTTTTTTTGTGAAATAAAAGAGCCAATAAAATGTGTCAATTTAGTGATTATCGTTAATCCAGTTAATGACTCTTCTATTAATTCTAGCAATATACTTTATCTTCCGCCAATTGGTTTTAATTTAACTGATGAACCTAATTATGGCTTTACTATTGCTCAACTTGTAGCTCTTTCAAAAGCCTATGATGTTGAAAGAGAAACTAAAATTGGTATAGCAGTTTTTAAATTACCTGAATGCAAGTTTGGTAAATGGCAGCATTTAAAAGATGGAAGATGGGAAAATATTATTGTAAATAATGACCTTGATATATTAAATGTAAATCTTTCTAAAATTTCATTAGATACAGTTTTGAATTTATTTTACCTGGATAATCATGAGCAGCTTCGTTTTAACTTGAATGGAGATTATTTGTGGAGTGTAGACAGTGCCTATTATTTGAGTTTTCTTGGCTTCAGTTTCTGGGACATGCAAGATAATGTTAGTATTGGTAAGCTAAATTTTGTAAATGTTAAAGAGCTAAAACCATTTACATATTTATTGTTAGTGTTTAAGTTATTTGTATTTAAAAAATGACAGGAGTTCAAAATATATCTCTGAGAGAAATTCAGCTTTCAAACTCCTACTTAACTCCCAAACTTGCAATACAGTTGCGTAGAGGATGTGACAATGTGGAGGGTTCTATGAAGCGCTATGATAAATGTGGTGTCTGTGGCGGGAATGGGTTTGGATGCAGTAATGCAATCAACTTTGGTAAGTATGTTTTTAAAAATTTTGAAAATAAATAAATAAAAATATTATTTTATCAAAAAAATATATTTGCTTATATTAAAAGAGACATATTAAAAGCACTTAATCATGATTTCAAGATCAATTTTGTATGAAACTTTATATTAAATCATACTAAATTATAATTGAGAGTAAAATATTGAAGTTCTTTTTTTTTATTTATAATTGACTACTGACATTTGTGATTGTGTCATTGCTTTCTTTAGCAATATCTTGTAATTTCAGAGGTTTTTTGAATTTGATATCTCCAATTTCCTACAGCCTCAAATTAACTTTTCAAGTATGTCACTCTCAATGTTGGATTAAACTGAATAAACAAGTTGTTAATTAATTCTTTTTTATTTCCTCAAAGTTAGCAATTACAACTAATTACAATTAGTAGCTAATATTTTTAGTAAGATTTGATGGCTTACATGATGATTTAAATACAAAAAGTTGTCTATTAAAATGATTTTTTTTCAGATAAAGCTATGTAAATAAAATTTAAAGATTGTCATTTTATATATATATATATATATATATATATATATATATATATATATATATATATATATAACCACAAAAGTAGCCTTCTCGACTGTAGTAGTCTTCTCGGCCTTGGGGAGGTGAATAATCAATATATATATATATATATATATATATATATATATATATATATATATATATATATATATATATATATATATATATATTCATTCCTATAGTTTGAAACCTAAATTTACCATTTGTTGTAAAAAACGTTTTAAACATTTTTTAAGTAGTTTTCCATGATTCTTAAGAGGTTCAATTTTTGCTGATTTGACCAAAAAAATATGCATTACATTTATATGTAACATTTTTTTTTAACCTGAAGTTAAACATGTCAGCTCAAATATCAGTGTTGTAGTTATTGCAATAGGGCTGTTCCTGATTTTATAGAAAACTAAAACTGAAATTAATAGCTCAAAAGCGAAATTTGATCGAAGTCTTAACTTTTAAGAGGTAAAAAGTTACAATAGAAAACACAATCATTAGGCAGTTTTATTCTTTCTTTTAACAGCTTTTGTTTCTGCTGCACTACAATCAGTTTCTAACTGGTCTAATTCACTCTCATTTTCACTGTAATTCTCACTGTAATACTTTAATTCAATCTTATTTTCACTGTAATTCTGTTTTTAATATTGTTTCAAGTTAAATTTAAAAGAAAATTAATTGTAACTACGTTTTACAAATAATTAATCTCAAATTTATATAATTTTTTTTAATTTAGTCTCTTTTTTTATACCTTAGTTGGGATAAAATACTCAATCATAATTAAAATAATCAATATTAAACAGTAAGAGGTTATTTTTGATTTAAAAGGTAGCTAAGAATAGGAATAAATACCACTGCTGATATTCTTTTCATGATGCTCCAATTCATCATAATTTAGTGTTTATTTACAAACTTTTTAGATAGTCAGATAATAATAATAAATTTTTTTTAGCTAAACCATATATTAATGCAGCTCACATTTTATTTGACTGCTGCTGTTTTTAACTTAGTGGTGAAAATAGTTTGTGCTTTATTGTTATGTTTAAATCACTAGGTCTTCAATTTCATGAAGAAGTTCTGTTTTTCTATTAAAACAATATAAAGACATTTAGCGTTACTTTTATAATATTAAAATAATAAACACATCGCAGAGTTTCAAAATGCTGTCAGTCTATGATAGCATTTTGAAACTCTGATGATAATTTATGTTGGTTAGATCATTAAAGTTGACTTTCTAGAGAAGACTATTTATAAACCAATCAAATATATATAGAAAAAATTAAAATACTTAAAAATATAAAACAAAAAATTAAAGAAATTTCAAAATCCTGAATTGTATTGGAACTAAATTGAATCAGTTCTGAATTTGCAACAACATAAATTTCTAACTATAAAGTCTAATTTTTTGTTTTTGATAAAATTTAACAACCATAAGTTATGTTAAAGGTAACCATAAATTTATCAAGTATAAAATTTAACAACCATAAATGCACTTATGCACTGGGCAATATTGTTTCTGCTCTCTCTACATTTAGCAGTTTTGAGAAAGGCAATCGTGTTATATTATAATATAAAGTATAAAATACTTACTGATTAGATGCAAATGTCATCTAAACTTCTTCACTTAAAACTTTCCAGAGTTTTTTGTTTATTTTCTTTTAGAAATTAATTCAGGAATTGGTTCTAACAAAATCAAAGACCGAGTGGCTTTAACTGATATTAATGAATTTAAAGAGAGTTTTAGAAAACTTGTTCTTGAATCAGCTACACAAGCCCAAGATGCTAAAAATGAAAAAGTTATTACCCATTCAATCAGTAAAATTACTTCTAATGGTATTTGTTTTAGTGGTAGCTCTAAGTATCAAATAGTTTCAAAATTATGTATGTTAATTAGACAAGAAATTAGTAAAGTTGCTTTTAATAAATTCAGAAGGCGAAGGTCTGCTACAGTAAACACAAACGGTACTGATTCCTTAGAAAAGGTTAGTATATTTAAATCCAAAAAATTTTAAATTGAAATTCAAGCGTTTTTTTAAAGCATTTTTTCATGTATTTAAATGACTACTCTTATATTTAGATAAGGTGACTAAAGTATTTTTTAAATAGCTGCATACTTTTCTCATTTTTTTAATATGCAATATAAAATTTAAGTGTGAATGAAATCACTTTTTAAGTATATGCATGCCTTGTTATTTACAGTATTGTGCAAATTAGTTCGGACAGTGGTTGAAATAACACAATTATTTGCCTTACATTACTAGACTACAGTATAACACTTATTTATCTGAAAAAACAAGAGAATCTTTAGTAACATAGCTAAAAGTTGGGCATATTGTGAAAATTATTCCAATTTTGCCACTGTCCGAACTAATTTGCACAATACTGTAACATACAATAATTTAGACATTTTTTTTTTATTTTTAGATTCGATATGATTTGCAATCTTTTGCAAATGCAATAAGCTCAAATAATATAACAAACTCTGCAATGAAGTTGAAGAAAAACTTTACAGATATGACAATTAATCTTGTTGTTTCTATGTGCAAAAGTACAGACTATGGTCAACCAGCAATATCAGCTAAAAGTAAATTAGTGGAACTTCAAGCTTTAAAATTAAATTTTAATGAAACAAGTAATGTTGACTGCATAAATTGTACTGAGCCAATATATGCAATATGGGAATATGTCAACATGGTGAGTCGAAATCGGAATTGTAGATCAGTTGTTTGTTCTGGTGAGATTTCAGATTATTACTATTTTTATTTTTTGCAAAAAGAAAATTTGATATTTTCTTCTTTTCCCTTTTTTGTTTAAATAAATTTATAATATTAGATTTTTCTGAAATTTTTTTAAATTTCGTTTTGCTAAACTTTAAAAAATTCTGGAAAGATATATTCATAAAATTATTTTGCCCTGATCATTTTGTGTAACTTTTTTTTTACTTAATTTTTTTACTAAGTCTTGTCATTATCTATCATATACAAAACCATAAAAATGTAAATTTTTAAAAATATAAAAAAACTAGGAGAATTTTGTTTGAAAATTAGTGGCAGTTATCATTTGAAATAATTTTTCTTTGTATCAAAATGGATAAAAGCATTCATATTCCTTAAGTAACAGTAAATTTTAGCCTGTTATTACAAAAGTAAAAAAAAAAATTGTCAAACTATTTCAAAAATTTCCTGATAAAAATAATTCTTTTACAAAAAAATTAAGAAAGGACAAGCAATTAATTTCACTATTTGCCTGCAGAACAATATGGTGCAGTTTATTATTGATTTGACCGTTTGTGTCAAAGGTTCAATCAGAAAGTTTAGTTAATCAGTTGTTTTAAGACATTTTAACAGAAAAAAATAAAGAATCTTTAAACTTTTCAATCCTGAATGCTTGTCTCATGATGATGAGGATAAAGCCTTTAATGACCAATGAGTAATTAAAGGATTTATCCTCATTATCATTATTCAAGGACCAACCCTTCAATGACCTACTTGACATATTTGTCCTTAAAGAACTCTTAATTATTATAAACATTTTTTGTTTGAAGGAATTTAAAGGTAAGAAAAGAAAATCATGAGATTTTCAATCCTGCAAATTTGCCCACAACTGTTGGAACACACAAGTAACTATTAATAGATTGTTGATCCCACAAAATGTTGCTCAAGCATAAATGCACTACAAATTATTTATTCAGACATTCTTTCATCCAATACCTTAGTACTGCACAGCCCCAAGATGCCTGTTTCCCATCCCCGTAATTTGAATCAGCTATCTTTAGGAGATAGCAGCAAATCTGACAGCAAGGAAAATATTGGAAATAAAAATTACAGTTTTTTAGGTGGGGTTGAGGAAAGGTCATATTTTCTTAACTAAAAAGATGTCAACAATCAGGTGTTTTCAATTTGAATTCTGATGTCCAGGCTCAAATAGTTTGTTGCATAAAAATGTGTCAGATTAGAGAGGTATCACCAAATTATCACAGATTAGAGAGGTATCGCCAAATATTTTCCAACTTCTACTGTAAGAAAGATAATCCCAGTGTGCACAAGACATCAATCCTACATTGGATTTATGTAAGATTATGTTGGGCGACATCGACTAACTCAATATTGGGCAACATTGACTAACTCAGTGTTGGGCGACATTCATCAATTCAAGATTTGGTGATATCCACCAACTCAATGTTGGGGAACATCCACTAACTAAATGTTGGGGAACATCCACCAACTCGATGTTAGGGGACATCCACATAAGCGGATGACAGAAGACTTGAAAAGTTGAAGGTTGTATGAGTCAGGAAAACATGAAGATGGAAGAGAGTTTCAAAGGGTGGAAGTGAAAAAACTAGACAAATAAAAGTTTTTAAAGCATGCAGGGACAGATATAGTAAAAGAATGAGACTTTGCTGAATTACGAGTCGAGCAATAATGAGTTTTGATTGATGGAACTAGAGATGATAGTTTGTTTGAGCAGTAATCATGATAGTATTTGCAAAAAAAGAAAAGAAAAAGAGATGCAACCTTACAATGGTGGGATAGTGGTTCAAGCTTAACATAAAGAGCAGTTCCAACTACATTTAGAATAAGTTTTTAGACCTTGTCTAGAAAAGAAACAGTATCATTAGAAGAACAAGCCCAAACATGACAACAATACTCCATACAGGGACAAAAAAGAGATTTGTAGAGATAGAGAATGAAATCAGGAGAGAGAAAATAGCAAGTAAGATAAAAAGAAGCAACCTTAGCAGATGCTAATTTAGCAATCAATTATATATATGGTTTCCATGAAAGGTCAGTAGTAAACAATAATTCAAGAAAACATAAAGAAGAGGACTCAGGAAGAGGATTGCAATTCATTAATAGGAATGTCAACAGTATTGCAATAGTTATTTGCAGTAAAAAACTGAGTTTTGTTGGAGTTAAAATTTCTACTGTCAAACTTTCTAACAGTCTACTGCAAGCCTCAATCTATTACAGAAGTGAGGCCAGATTCAAGATCAACTGCCTGTTCTAAGAGATCAAAAAGGAAAGACTTTTTGTCAAGCCAGAGTATAAAGTTAAGTCATCAGCAAAAAGAACTATTTTAGATGTAGGTTGTTAGGAAGGTTATTAATGTAGATAAGAAACAAAATAGGACCAAGGATAGAACCTTGAGGTATCCAGAAATTTCTGAAAATAAAGAAGAGTGTTGGCCTTTGAGGATGACTTTAATAAAGCAGTTAGAAAGAAATGGTTTGATAATTTCAAAAACTTTCCCAGATACACCACATGAAATAAGCTTATGGAGAACACCAGCATCCCAAACTTTGTCAAAAGTCTTAGATATGTCAATAGCAATAACTATAGCCTCTCCACCTCCACCTAATGCACAATAAAATTTTTCAGTCACAGCAGTTAGCAAGTCAGCCGTAGAGCAAGAGGATCGAAATTGATATTGATTGTGGATGATAGGATGAAGAAATTGAAGATGAAGATGGGATGTGAGAAATTTGTTTATCAAAGACTCAAATACCTTACTTATAACAGAAAGACTTCAGGATCAGGTTCAGGGGTCAGGATGTTCACCATAGTTTTTGAAAATTGGAACAACAGATGCCATTTTTCAGCAGGCACGAAAGCAAGAGTCAGTCAAGCACTTGTTAAATAGTTTAGGAAGAATTGAAGAGAGTTTTGGAGAACAATATTGTAAGACTGACATGAATGTTGTCTGGACCACAAGTCATAGAAGAGTTTAATTGAGATATGACTTTAGCAACAGAAGCTGGAGTAATTTGAATGTCTAAGAATGGGTTAACCTGTTTAATTGGAATGGAAGGAAGAAAATGGCCATAAGATTCGAGAGTCGAATTAGAAGAGAAGTTCTTTGCTAATAGTTCAGCTTTATCTTTGGGAGAGTTAATAAGATCAATCCCATGAATGAGAAATGTAATGTTAGACCCTTGTTAAAGACGCTGTTGAAGATTTTCCAAAAGTCTCTAGACCCTAATTTCTTAGATATATGATTTAGTGAACTGAGAATAATGGAGCCTAGCATGAGAGCACCTTTTTACATCGGTTTCTTGCAATAATAAATAGCCGTTTGTTTTCAAGAGAGTTGTTCTTATGAAAAGGATGAAAAAAATGATTACAATTAGATATAGCAGGTGCACAAGAGGGTAAAAACCATGGGGCAAAATAAGGCTTGACTTAGAACCAACATAAAGGAATAAAAGCATCCATTCCTGTCTGAATCCAGGAGGAAAAAAATATCAGCCCAAGGACTTTGACAAAGAAAATCATGAAACGATTCCCAGACAGCTTTAGGGTAGTAGCGAGTAGCGAGATGATATGGTTAGTCTGAAAAGGAAGTACGAGATGAAAGATTTAAAGAGATCATTGCATGGTCTGAACCACTTAAAGAAGAAAAAGAAGAAACTGAACACAAACTAGGGTTAGAGACAAGACACAAATTAAGGAGTGAAAGTAAATGATTAGGGTTGTCAGGAAAATGAGTCACAAAGTTAACTGTCTGAGTAAAGAAGCTCATGAAAGAGTGGCCAAATGATTCAAACCTGATTTCACTACAAATAGGTGAACTGATGCGCATGTATACCCTCAAACCAAGCATGTGACTATTGATGTTTTTGTCATCAAATAATAGTACCCATCAACATTGAGTTCAGAAAAAGGAAAAGCAGAATTTAAATTAGTTTCACTAAGAGCAAGCAAGTCTGGTGAATTTTGTAAGAGGTAACTAATGGAAGGTTGTTTTGCAGACCACAAATATTAGTCAAAGATATGTTAAAACAGTTAGGTTGTGGGGATGGTTTTGACTCATTCATAGATAGAGCACAGCCTCCTAAACAATGAGCTATGCAATTTTCTCAGTCTTGTTAATTAACCATAAGTCGTATTATAGAGCTCCTTAATGTGGCCTCAATAATGCGCACCAAAAGCATTAACAGGGACACCATCCATGCACAAAATGGCCTTGTTAATACTCTGATATTTTGCAGCTGTTGATGAAATCAGCCTCTCTGATAGCTATCAAAGATTTTGGGAAACCTTACTACCAGCCAGCCTTTGAACTATTAAACTGAGTTTTAGAGGTGTACCCTTATAATGAGATAACAGGAAGAGTTGCATAGCCACTATTAAGGAGGCACAAGTACTTGTAAGAAATGTCAAAAAGATCCAGCATTCGTCATCTTAGGCAGGAAACAATTTAACACAGGTTTACATCTAGGCCAGCCTAATAGATGAAGAAGAGGTTTGAGGCCGGTTAGCAAAATTAATCTGCTTACCCTTAAAGTCTTTGCTTAGGAGGCCTTCTTCAAAACAGTAGCTGGATGCAGTTTACATCTGCGCAAGATGAGTATTTTTGTTGAGACATTTTCTCTAGCCTTTACTCAACCAAGAGCCCCAAAGCTAGGGATTTATAAGTCAAAGTTGAAGAGTGTGCAAAAAAGTACACTCTTCAAAGCAGCAGGGCATGGGGCAGGTAGTACTGGGTTACATAACAGCAGTAACAGGGTGGACCTGATGTTCCTTAAACTAAGCTGACCTAGACTAATTAAAAAGAGCTACTTCCTGCAAACAGTAACTTGAAACATTGGGCAATATTTGGAAATGCATTAGGAAATCTAAGAAAATATTAGAGATGTAGGTGAGTGTAGGTTTTATAGTTGGAGTGTCTAGATAGTTATTGAGCTCACACTGCATCAAAACAGATTTAAGCATTTAAACAGAACATTTAAACATTTAAACAGAACACATATATAGAGTAACTTACAAGTGAGTAAACCCTGTGCCAGAGGCTCATACAGAATACAAATATAAATATATAAATTTACTTATGGGTGAACCAACATCGTGCCTATTTATATATATATATATATATATATATATATATATATATATATATATATATATATATATATATATATATATATATATATATATATATATATATATATATATATATATGTATATGTATATATGTATATATATATATATATATATATATATATATATATATATATATATATATATATATATATATATATATATAATATTATATTATTGTATTTCTTTTTTAACTATCAAGTTTTTTAAATATTAAGTTTTTGAAAAATAAATATAATATTAAATTATAATTATTAATTTTATCTTTCCACCAATTCTTTGTATTGGTGGAAAGTTAAATTATTATTATAATTAGTAGTATTTTTAAAAAAATCTTTTTACATATTAGTAAATATTTCCTTTATCAGTATGATTGTGTAGCATAGTGGTAGTTCAGTACGCAAAAATGTCCATTATTGACCAACATTTTTGCGTACTTCAGTACAAAAAAATGTTGGTCAATAATGGACATGACTTTGGACTAGTCTTTATGGCTATTTGTGGATGTTCCTATGCTAAGTCAACAATATCTTGAGATATAAGAGCATTGTATAGCAAAATATAGAAATTCAAATAAATAAATAAAAGTATATATATGGAGAGTTTAACCCTGGAGCTTCAATGTTATGTTGTTCACGATGGAAACAACTACTTGCTCTAGACAAGAATATAATAAAGTGGCAACGGCTGATAAAACCTCAGAAATTGCTTATGTTACCACTGCATATTAAGTTAGGTCTCATCAATCAATTTGTGATTGCTCTTGTCAAAGAGTCTGCACTTTTTACCTCCAAGATCTGAATCTGTCTAAAGTTAAAATAAGGACTTTAATATCTTTGTTGTACCACAGAAAAAAAAAGATCATAAAGTGTGATAAGGCTTTGTCATAAAATCAAAGTTCGTTTTGAACTTGAAGCTACTGAAATATAAACTTTAAATCCAAGGGCAAAAATTTTGTTACATAATGTAGCATAAAAAATATCTTTAAAAACAGCAATGAAAAAGCTCTAGTAGTTGAGAAATTCTTAAAAACAGTCTAAATGAGCTGTTTAATATACTTCAAGTTTGTTTTTTTTTTTACATAAATTTCTCTTGTATTTTTTTCTTGTAAAATAAAATGTTTTTTCACTTTTTTTTCATACCACTCACCAACTTTTTTTTTTAATTTGTTGCATACTTATATCTATATAAGCATATCTTTTAGTGGTTTAATTTTAGTTTTTATGTTATTGATTCTTTTTTTTAAAATTTTAATTGATTCTCAGTATTTTATTGATTGATGTATTTTATAATGCACTCACTCGCTCTTCACATTGTATATTGCATTTTTTCGCTCTCCATATTACATAATGCATTCATTCACTCTTCACATTGTATATTGCATTCATTCGCTCTCCATATTAAATAATGCATTCATTCACTTTTCATATTGCTTCTTTAAGAACATGCTTTTTAATTTTAGGTGTGGTTGTCTTTTAGTTTTAAGCAGTCCTATTGCAATATAGAACAGAGATAATATGCAGGGTAAATATCTGATGAAATGTTGCTTATTTCATTAATGATTAAATTAAATTGATATTGAAACACACTGGCATTGTTGTTTTTTCACAAGACTCTTTATTGTAGAGCTTTTGAACATTTTTTACTTTTTATCGGCCAAGACAAGAGACAAAACTAAAAACGATCTAAATATATTTTTAGCTAGGCTTTCACTTTATGAGCACTCATAGTTTACCAAAAATAAATGTACTATGAGTGCACTTATACATTATGAGTGTATCAATAAACCTGTATAACAAGTTTACTTTTAATGCATGCCTAATGTGTTACTTTACTGTATTTTAAACTGCTTTTATTAACTACTGTATGTCAGTGATTAGTTAGCTATAATAAAAACATAATACTCATTTACTCTAAACAATAGAGATGATCAGTTAAAATCTGCATATGCGCTTCTGTTTCTGTAACACATGTTAGGCCATAAAAGTCACCCTAACTGTGTTATGTGTACCATTAAATATTCACTTATGATTATGGCACAATCAGTCAGTTCCGAAAAACAAAGATTCTAAAAACTCAGGAAAGCTTATTACTCACCTTTGCAGTTGCTCAAAACAGTAAAAAAAAAAAAATTATCAAAAATACTGCACTTTGCCTTTAAATTTCAATCATCCTTTTAACACACAATTTTAATCACCCTTTCAACGCACAACGCTCCGCTCTTTATATAGTTTAAAAATTGTTCAAATTATAGAAAGCCACATCTAGCTATGCACCAGGTAAAGCATATAAAGTAAGCAAAAAGATTATAACTACTAACGTAAACACTGTTTGAAAAAATAGCAGTGGGGCTCAGAGATCTTGAAGTTGTCATTTTGGTTGCAAACACTAAATGTATCAACTATTAACAATGTAGTATTTAACATACAATCAAAAAAGGTATAAACTTAATGACAAAAGAATGCTCTAAAATTACAGAAAAGTTTATTAAAGCTGATATAACTGTTTTTACAGCATTGATTCTCTGTATAATTAATTACAGGTACAATAATCCGTTACTTACACTGATTAGCCATATACTCTAAATGAGAAAGTGAATAAAGTTACAGTATTAAGCTATGTATGTATGCATATAATTTAATATAATTTTTTCTTTTTGTATAGGATTGTGTATAGGGTATACTCAGTTCGCAAGTGATCTTTATTCTAATGATACTGGTCAAGATCTTGCTGCAAATATTGTTTCATTTGTTCTAATAAATACTTCTAATTACACATCTATTTCAACTGATTTTTTGAGTACACCTGTGGAAATCTCTTTACCTCTGACTTCAGATCTGTGCCAGGATTGTATTTATGATGTAACTTTGATCATATAAATTCTTTTAACTAATATGTACTGTGTTATTTAGTATTAGAATAAATCTTTTAAAACAAGAATAAATCATTATATGTGTGTGTGTTTGTGTGTGTACCATGTATGCAACTATTTCTTTATTTAAGCAAATATATAATAAATATAAAGCAAATATATAATAGATATAAAACAAATATATAATAGATATAAAACAAATATATAATTAATATAAAACAAATATATAATAGATATAAAAGAAATAACACTTTTTCAAATTTGAAGTTTTTTTTATTACAGAATAATAAAATATTCTTGTTTTTCGATTTAAGCACAAGGTTAAATGTTGACCTTGTATTTTAAGATGACTTTTTTTTAGTGCGTAACCTTTGATATCTTGCTTAGTAATTGGTCAAATGTGTACTGTTCAAGTAGCCAACAAATAAAAGTTTTGAATGGGATTTTTTACATACTTTGTAACTGCAATAAATTAGGAATCCATAGTGCTGTGTTAAAGAAAAAATTTAGGTCGGAACCATCAAACTTTGCAAATGGTAAGTTTTAATTACCCTTATTCAATATTTTTAATGAAATTATTAAAAAATTAATTTAAAAATTTTTAATGCAAATTAATGAATAACTTGTTCTAAATACTTCAACATTTTTCCATCATGTTCCATAAGACAGAGTTGTAACTGCTATGATTAAACAGTTATGTGTCTAGGGTCTTAAATTAAACAGTTATTTATCTGCTACGTTGTTAGACATCCAAAAAAATTGAATAAAAGTTTTTCAATTTATATAAATATTTTTCAAAAAAAAAATGTTTTACTATATAGATTAAAATGGGGTCAAATGAAGTAGTTAAGGATTTTAATTATTTATTTTTTACGGAAAAAAGATTTTTTTTAAATTTTTTTTAGGATTACGATCACATTTAGGTATTAAGATCACATTTTTTAGCATCATAGTTAGTGTTTACTTTAAACTTTTCATGAGCAATATCTTCATTTTCAATACTCCACTAACAAGCTTGTGATTGTAAACTACTATCACAGTTTCTTGTAAGCTTTTTTTAACAATGATGTTGGAGGAGTAATATTTCTACGGTTTATAACTGTAACAAAATTTGATACAGTACGTTTTGTTCTTATATTTTTGTTTTTTGTTTTGTTCTTCAATCCATTTTTGTTTTTATATTGATCTTTAGTTTCTAATTTAATTAGATTTATTTTCTTAAAATTGATTAACATTATGGCAAGCTTGAATTTTCCTCAGTCAAATTAGTTATAATTAAATGGTCCAGACAGTATAGAAATATTTCCATTATAACTAGGCTTAAACTTTTAAACATTTTTTTCATTTACTCATTAGTAAATATTTCACAACATGATTTTGGCCAAATTTCAATAATTAGCGAAGCGATTGTCATTCCTTGGTTTAATTCTATATAAAAAAATATTTGGTTTAACTCTAATTTATTTTATATAGTTCTCTTTGAATAACTGATAACCAGCTATTTTATGTTTAGCAGCTCTTTTTTCAAAATATAGTCTGATACTATATAAGTAAATATATGTTGATGTGTTATCAGAAGCAGAGATGTTGTCTTTTGACCATTAAATTACATCTTTAGATATTATTTTGTTTTTGTCGCTGTTAAATTCCTTGTTTGTAATTATACAAAATGATGCATTTAGTGGAATGTAAAAGCTTTTTAAAAAGCTAGATCCAGCAGGAATATTTATAGAGTTAATTATATATTCTTTTACTTATGTATACTTGTAAAATATACTTCAAACAAGCTTCTCTACCGAAATTCAACTACAACTGGGTTGAAATATTTGTTTTTATTTCTGTGCATACAAATACCATAATGCATTGCTTTATGGGGAAAGGTCAATTAGCAGGACAGAAACAACTACATAGCTTATTGTTTGGATGCCTTGCTCTATCTGTGAATTAGTCAAGTTCTCTTCAAACCTAAATCTTGCCCAAAGTAACCCAAAAATTAAACATAAAAACTATCCCTGCCACCTAACTGCTTCAATATATCTTTAACAAATATTCGTGGTCTTAAAAGTAACCTTCCATCAGTTGAATTTTACCTCTTGCAAAATTCACTAGACTTGCTTTCTTGTAGTGAGATTAATTTAAATTTAGCTGTTCCCTCTTTAGATCTCAGTATTGATGGGTACTAAGAGAGTTTTGAAAATTTGATTACGTGGTTTAACTTAATTTAAAAAAAACTAGGATTTCGAAAAGGTTTTAAATAGGAAAGTGATACTAAAATAAACGGTTTAAATAGAAAAAGAAAACCTACAATAGAAAATTTCATTTCTGAATCAGCAAATTTTAAAATAGTAAACTTTATCATAAAATAATAATTATAAAATCCAAGATTTTTATATGTATATTTTGTAGCGGTATTTTTTCCATCCTTACTCTGTTTACAAATGTATGCATTTAATTATTTTTATAGATGCATTTAATTATTTTTAGTGCAAATAAAGTTTTTAAACGATTATGCTGCTACATTAACAAGAGTATCTAAGGCATCATTAGAAAGCTCATTGAAAATGTCTATCATTGCAGTTATGCAAATTGAATTTTGGAGAATTCGTAACATGAGTTGCAGTAATGGTTCTATTATATCGTCATTTCAATTTTTGCCGAGTGACGTGTATGAGAACTCAGACCCAGTGATAACTTTTAATGACGATTTGCAACGTCTATCAAACCATGTTTCAAACGGGGATCTTCTAGTTATGCTAATTGACGGATTTCAATTAACTTTGGATACTACTTACTTTAGTTTTAATGTAAGTGTTGTTACGAATGATAATTCTGATGAAGAGCATCATCACTCTGAGTTAGGAGTTATTATTGCTGGTGGTGTAGTCGGTGGACTTGGGTTTTTTATTGTAATAGTATATCTTTTTAAGAAATTCAAAGTATTTTCTTTGCTGCGAAATATTTGAACTATTTTTTTAATAAACTGTTTATTTCAATGTTCAAGTAAAAAAATTTTTTGTTGTTTTTCCAATATTTTGATATTGGTTTATTATATATATATATATTCTGGTTTTAAACACTTTTTTTTTTTCCGCTCATTAATCCGATTTTAATTGATAATAAAAACATGTGCTTTATTTCAAAATAAGAATTTTATACATGAATAATAACAAAATAAGAATAAAGTAAGTTTATTATAAATAGTAAACTTTAAATATGCATATTTAAAAAGAAGGGTATTTTCAAAAATAATTTTTTTTTCTTGCCCGATACATAAATATACATAAATTGATAGATGATAAAGTTCATTTATCTGGTTCCACTCTTTTTGCTGCATTAGTTCGATGACTTGGAACTAAAATTTTTCATTTTGAATGCCATAGAAGAAATTAATAATAAATTTTTAAGTTGTAAAAGTAGAAACGAAAACGGGTTGGTTAAAAATATTTGACGGGCTAAACTAAACTTTGGTTAAAAAACTTTGACGGTCAAAAGCTGAAATCATATCTGAAAATAACGGATGCGGAAAATTTCGAATACGAATCAGATAAAAACGTTTAAAATTGTTAATAGATAGTTTTTTAATGCAAGTTTTCTATATACTTGCCAAATTACATAGAAAAAAAAAGTGTTGCAGATAGCATAAAAAGTGTAGCACTTTTGGTACCTAATTTTTGTTTTTCTCAATTCGTTAACCGAGAATGTGGGGGCGGATTTCTATAACTTTTTTTTTTAATTTAATGATGTTCTATTAAGATATTTGTTGATTTTTTTTAGTCACAGGTTTATAGTTAAATATGAAGTTGTTATGAACCATTTACGGGGACATATGCGCTATTGGGGACATTTTAGTGTACCCGTTAATTTTTTGTCTCTGTAAGCATAAATTTTTTTGCAAAATAATGTACTCGTAAGAAACTTTTATAGAGAGCAAAAAGTATATACATCGACTGACAAATAGCGTGACTCGCAAAGGAGTGCAAGATAGTATGAAAAAAGTAAAAAAAAAAAAACAACAAAACGGGAGCAAAAAAAACATGTCCCCGAATGTATCTATCTAGTATGCCATATATATATATATATATATATATATATATATATATATATATTATATATATATATATATATATATACACACACACACACACACACACACACACACACACACACGCACACACACACACACACACATAACATTCGATATAACATTCAAAATGACTTTAGATTACATAAAAATTTAATGATTTTTTTTTTTTTTTTTTTGACTATAGATATCAAAAATTATATATTGATTGAGGATATAGTTAGTAAAAAAACATTTTGAAAACAAAGGTTTTTTGCTAACTATAACTGTTTTTGAACATGTTGAAGGTATATAGTTAGTAAAAATAATTTTGAAAACAAATCAGGCTTGTAAATATATATCTCAACTGCAATGTGTCGCAATATCAAATTTTTTTGATTCTAACTACGATAAATTTAAAATCAATAACAAGTTTATGCTCTATTGATGACAAGCTTATTAACTTAATTTCTGTTTGTATTATTCTGATAGAAGAAATCTAAAGTTGTCAATACAAGACATATTTTACTCTTTTGATAACCGAGACTCTCAAAAAGGAGGCATCAAGTGCAAGGTTTCACAATATAGAACAAAAAGAGTTTCTGAGAATGTTTAGCGATGCCAAAGAAAGATCATCTAATGCAACAATCTGTTATATTTTATGCAAATTAAGATAAAATAAAAGAAGTTTGAATTATCTTGAATGACTGGTCCTGTCAAATCAGAGCAAAAATACGCTCTCCCACAAGTCAATGTAGAATGCATTAAGATATGTAATATTTTGTAAAATTTAATTTCTACTGTATGCATTGTAAATTCTATACCAATTACATTCATTTTAAAAAGATAAATTTTTATATGAGATTAAACATGAGATTAAACTCTAGGGTGTGTTAAACTGTCACCACCAAATCTTCCTGCAACTTTAAGATTATATTTGTTTTTGCTTTGAACCAAATTTTGGTAACTTTTTGTATGAAAAAATTACATATTTTAGAAAAAAAAACATTATTTTATGAAAAAAATATCCATTTTTCGACAGTAAAGGTGGTGGTGGCACCTCTGTATCCTCAGCCACCTCTGTATCCCCAGATAAACCCGGTGAATAAAAACCAATATAAATTTGTAGCCCAATGTTACATTTATCTTTTGATACCAAGTTATATGTATTCAGATAAGGTTTAAATAATTTAGATAAATAATAACTAAATTTTGACCACAGTTTCTTCAACAATATATCAAAAATATGGTACTTAAAACCTCATAACTTTTTGTAGAATTGTTTGATTTTGATAATTTTTTCAACAATAAAATACTGTATTAAAGCCCTTTCTAATGATGTATAACTATTTAGTATTTGATCAATTTAAAATTTTCAATCCACATACCAAGTATTATATTAAAATACACCTTTGAAAACAAAACTTTGAATGCTTTGGAGTGCTTTATATACAGTTAACTTATTCGAATATTACTGTATATTAAATACTCCAAAGCATTCAAAAATAGACTTAATTATTTTTTTTTTACATTTTTAACACTTTTAAGTATTATAACACAAAAGATTTCTTTTTTTTAAATGTTTTTGTCAATTTGTTAACATATATAACTCAGATACAGTGAACACGTTTTGGTTGTTTAAGCATGGTAAATAACTTAAATTGAATTAATATTTTAAAATGCTATGTATATAAATAATATGCTGAATTACTTATTAAATTGCTTTAGAATATTAAAAGTATTTAATAATAATTAATATCAATAATAATTGGCAACGAGCGAAACCACAAACTTATAAGAATGTGTCATTTTAGAGGCAATCAACACTCGTGCTAAAGATGTTAGCAAGTTGCAGAGGATCCAAATGATTATAATTTTATTATAAGCTTCAAATTGTTGAAATTATATGTGCATCTTTTTGCTGTCAGGAATTTTTTTCATAAAACAGACCTTTTATTGACAAGTTCTCAGAAGAGGTGACTCTTTGTCATTTAAAGACGTTGTTAGTTGCGGGCCTTAAGTACAATTCTATACATTACCACTGAAAGTAAAGTGTGTTGGTCATGTGCAGTTTTTTTCTAATTTTATTGAATTCATCGATAAATGTAAACAACAGGAACTCAATAATGGATCTCAATAATGACTTAATTATTAAACACAACCTTTTGTTGATACTATAAACAAACTAAGTATACACAGCAGATCAGCTACTTCAAAAAACTGTTTTGCATTTTCAATCAAAATTTTAGCTGACAAAACTTTCCATAAACTCGGTTTTTGATAGTTCCACCAATTTGATTAGAGGGTCCTATGAAGTGATGTGCCTTACCATAACTGACCAGCACATCCATCACTTCAGATATGAAAAATTGAATCTGATAGAGCTATACCTTTAACCATGCTAGCTAGTTGTTGTTTGTAGATGCAACATTGCATTATGATTACTACTGGAAACTTCACCAAGTTAAAATTTTTATCAAATTTACCATTCTGAACTGTAATACTTTTATGAAAGTAACAAGCTGCTGTGTGATGAAAGTAACAAGCTGCTATGAATATAGCAAAATGTTGATGTCCAAAAAAAGCACTCCGGATCTCGTGAGTTATTTATTTTCGTAGTTCTTGGAAAAATTGACACTGATTATTGCGTCGTCTTCTTTGGGATTTGCCTTCAGACATTTTTACTCTGAAAACTGACGGTAAATATTATACTTATGCATTCTCATTTTTGAAAACTGACGGTAAATATTATACTTATGCATTCTCATTTTGCTACTATCAACCATTTCGAATAAAAGCATTGCAGTTTCTTCACCAGTAGCTTTTTCTTGAACTTTGCAAAAACCTTTTTTGAGGCTATCCAACGATAATATATAAAACATCAGTTTTTTTCAATTCTTGACACAAATCAGTAATTATGGTTCTTCCCGAACATTTAAACAATTGCAATGCTTTACACAAAATCAGACTTTGACACCATCAGATTTCCTGCAGTAAACAGTATCTTTCCTGTCTGGCAAATAATAGCTTATACCAGGTTGTTCTTAAAATTGAACTTCTTTTTCTTTGTTTACCTGTATTATTGATAGCATTTTGAAAGAAAGCTTTCTTCTAGAATTAAAAAAAATATATTGTTTTTTTTTCTTGGTAAACTTTGCACAAGAGCAGATAAAATTTAACTTGAAGTGAACTTTTTTTTGGCATAGCTCGTCTTAAGTTGGCTAATAAACAATAAACCACTAGATTTGTTGTTCCATCTTTGTGTACTGTTTCCCCCTGAAAATAAGATAATGCTTATCCATAGAATAAAATGAGTAGAAATAAACATATTCATAAAATGCATAAGGAATTATAATAAATCATATAATGAATAACAATGAATAACATACAAAAATTAAAATAAATGGCTTAGTATTATAATAATAGCAAAAAATGTTTCCAATTAAAAAGTGCTAATTACAGATAAAACATTATCTTAACATTTTTACCTATTTCTTTTTCAAAGCTCTATCCAACCTTTTTTTTTTGGGAACCAGGCCTTCCCATATTTTTTTAATAATTTTTAGTCTGAAAGTAAAAAAGGAATAAAAAAAGTCTATTATAAAGTATAGTTACATACAGTATCGGACAAAACATTTGTGACCAACATCGAACAATGCTAAAAAGTGTTCCTAATTTTACATGTCTTAAAAACGAAACGAACTATACTACCACGGCAAACAGTTCAGGAGTCTGAAGTCATAGCATGTCATGACTTGAGCAATCAACTGACAGGTGACAGCACACATGCAGAATTTCGTTGACAAGTGCCATTTTGCAGCGGACAAAACAAATGCAACTTTTTTGTAAATGTAACACGGTAAACCTTGAGAAGCGTGATTATTTATTTTTACTATTTTTATGACTTCAAGTGCAAAAATGGTTCCCGACAGTCTTGGATTGGGACTAAGAAAGAAAATTATTGGCGATTACGTAAGCGGAATGTCACAAAAAGGTATTTGTGATAAATATCGCGTGAAAAAATGGGCCGTATCAAGACTATGTTACAAATATCGTTCTACGGAGAAGTTGGCAGCAGATAACAAAGGTGGAAGACCGCGTTCCACCACTTCTAGAGAGGATTCTATGATCGTCAGATCCGTCAAGAAGGATCCCTGGATATCATCAGTCGAGATACAAAAGCAACTAGAGCTGTCTGTATCTGACCGAACAATCAGACAACATGCTGTTGAAGCCGGATTGTTTCCTCGACGCCCTGCAAAGAAATCGCTGATTTCACTTAAGAACCAGAAGAAAAGACTCCTGTTTGCTACATCTCATATTGACTGGAATGTGCAGAAATAGCGAACTGTCCTGTTCAGTGATGAATCGAAGTTCAACATTATTGGGAGCGATGGCATTTACCATATACGTCGACCGGCCGGAAAACGCCTTGATTTACGTTACTGCCATAAGACCGTGAAGCATGGCGGAGGCAATGTAATGGTCTGGGGGTGTTTTTCTGCCAACGGTCTAGGTTCAATACATCGAATCGATGAAATAACGGACTGTTTCATGTATAAAAATATCCTGAAAGATGTTATGTTACCTCATGCTGAATGGAATATGCCAATAAAATACGTTTTTCAGCAAGACAACGATCCGAAACACATTGCAAAAGTAGTCAAGCAGTGGTTTCAAGATAACCACCTATAGGTGGTGGATTAACCGCCTCAATCTCCGGATCTCAATCCTATCGAAAACCTTTGGGAGATTGTCAACCGCAGAATTAATCGTGAAGGTGTTCGTAATAAGGATCAACTGTTTGAACAAATCCAAAAGACCTGGGCAGCGATTCCACAAAGTTTCACTAATCACCCGATCGAATCTATGCCTTCAAGATGCAAGACTGTGATCGACAACAAAAGATTCGCCACGAAATATTGATGGCGAAATACAGCTTGGTCAACAATTTGTGGAGTTGCACTTATTTTGTCCTGAAGGAAATCAACTTTTTTTAATACTTTTGATTAATTTATTAATTTTTGTGTACAAATAATGAACTTTGTGATGAATAAAACTTGAATAACGTTGTCTCTAAACAGTTACAAAGTTATTTCTCTAAATAGAAAAAATGAAGCACTTTTATATAAAGAATCTAAATTAGCATTATTTGGTTGCACTTGTTTTGTCCAATACTGTATGTTGGTCCGTGAAACCATTTATCTTATCAATAGGTACTACACCTTTATACATTGTAAATATATATTATATGTATGAAAAGCCCCCCTCTCCCATAACTATGTCTTTGAATCAACTATCTTTCACACACTTGTTGATATATTTTGTCTATAATGCATTGCGCCACTTTATGATAGGTCACTTTATATGTTGGTTGGTGAACTGCAAACGTTTAGGGGTATGTTTTTTTGTCAACAAAGGAACCTTTTGTGGACTGCACGCATTTAGACTGTTCTCTCTTAAGATTTAATATAAATACAGTATTTAATATACAATCTGTGGTAGTCACCTTTTACACATAGTTTTTCTATTTTCGCTTTATAATATATGACACTTAAAATCATCTTTGTTAAACATCTGATTGTGTTTAGGAAGTATGAATAAGATTCGCTCTCTTTATAATGCTTCAAAATAATGTTACGTTCCGCTGGTGTATATAGGCTCGTACTTATTGCATTTATAAAGTATTGGGTTGTTCGTGAAAGTTATATTCCTTGATTGATGCGACAACGGGGTAAATGAAACAAATTTCTTTAACCCTATTTGAAGACAGTTATATTCCTTGATTATTATGAATTCACCTAAAATAAAAGTTAACTCTTTTAGACTCAGCGGTTTCATTTGGAACCAATAACTTTTTTTTAGCTGTATGAGTGTGTATTTATAATTTGAGTAAGAAATTTTAATAGTGTTTGTTTACTTAATTAATTTACATTTATTTGAAATTATCGTATCCGTAGTAGAACATGTGCTACATTTTCTTATGCAGTTCGTGCAAATTTTGTATTTTATAAACCAATACAAAAAGTGATTTTTAACAAGAATTTTTGACATAAGAAATTAACATTTGCAACATAACATAATAAATATTAAAAATTTATGTTTTTACACACGATCTTTGAGGGAAAAATGAGAAAATCCATTATTGAGTTTTTTTTTTCATTTTAAGAAACCAGCAAAAATCTTTCCTTATTTGTTGTAATACACAATACAATGTTATAACTTTTTTTTAGCATTTTATGGTTACATATGATGGTTAAAATTACAAACGAAAGACAAATTATGGAAATTAAAATAAAAGCAATATGAAATTAGCTAACGAAACTATCAAAAATAAAGTGATGACATGAAGTAATGACAGAAGAGATAATAAAGCAATAAAAATAATACCTGCCGATGAACCACGTATAATTGCTTGGCTCTTATAGAAAAGTGTTATCTTTTTACCCAAGAAAAAAGGTTTATCACAATATATTATTAAAATAAAGTTAATCTTCTATAGTCTATCAATTAATGAACTTTGAATGTTGTTCGCAATAAATTATCCACCCATTTAATATTGAAAATTTGCAGGTCAAAACTTTATAACTGGGTGACAACGATTCTGAAGCGACAACGTATTTTGTCACTTTGGAAACCTGAGACTAAATCTATAAACTAAGCTTTTGACTCAAAGCAGCTGTTCTTAGATAACTTGATTATATAAAAAAGCTTATTAGTGAAAACCAATTTAAAGCAAGTTGTATCTAAAACTGTGATGAATCTAGATTAACTTGCGCTTACAAGCCCTTAAAAGTGATAGCTAATATGGATGACTATTAAAATACAGTACACTTTTTTATTTTCCTTGGTAAAACACCGACATTTTTTTTTTTCTGTATATTCTTTATCTAGTTTTTTCTATATTGCTAAAATTATTTTATTTTAATTTTACAAGCCAACGTTTTGTATTTTCTGTAACAAGAGATAGGCCACGTGACAACCATGAATATACTAGTATTCAATAGTGTGGGACACTTCATACCGCCTTCAAAGAAATACGGATTTCAAAAGAAAACGGATGCTGAATTTATTGAATGATGTTGCACCATCAGGAACAAGTTGTCGTTGTTCTAAAACTGGTTTGACAGAGACTAATCTGTTAATGGATTTGAAACAAACGAATTTTACCACTTCAAATATTTGTTATTTCTTATTGCTCACAAGTTACACAACAAAATATCTCTTATCACATACTTACAACTCAGTATGCATATCATGGGTAAGAAAGTAAGAAGAAGAATCATAACAGATAAACTTTCAGGACTGTTTTGTCAAGCTTATGTGGATAAGGTTTCAGTGTATTTCCTATTTCTAGATTTCGAGTAACAGCAATCAATCCTTCTAACTGTGAAATTCTTTTTGTATCAGTTTATTTTGAGAATTTATGTTTAACTGATAATACAAGCATAATATTTAATTGAATCGATGAGAAGAGAACAGTACCAGTCCATTTTATGCACTTTTTCGTAATTTAATTTAACTTATTTTGATCTATGTACTACAAAAATACTAGTCCATCTTTTTTTCATTATTTTTTGCCATAAAGTAGATTTAAACTAGAAGAACAATACTTGTCCAGGATTATCTCGAAATAAAAATATGGGATTAGTACTGTCCTTCTTTTCACCGATTCGATTGAGAAACTAATATAAATCATTATATTCCTAAAAAATCAGCTAGAACTGGATCTAAAAACTAAAAAAGTTTATCTTCTAGATAAAATTTACATCTCGAACTAAAATGAAAGTGTTATACTAAGTATTTTTTAGAATTTCGGTCCTTAAATAAACTCAACTATAGTCATTTTTTGATATAAATGGTTTTGAAAATATTAATTACTCAAAATATTTTTTTTATTGATATTAGTTTGTTATGCAGTCTTTTCACAATACGATACTTTGTGTAAACATTTTTGAGTGAAAAAATTTTGGCTTAAAAGTTACAAAAGGAAACAGTGTGGCGTTTTGGGTAACAGCATGGTTTATTAGGCTCATAAAATATTTTTCTGTTTATTTTATATCTGAACATCCTATTATATATATATATATATATATATATATATATATATATATATATATATATATATATATATATATATATATATATATATATATATATATATATATATGCAGTAAAAAAGTGTTTTAATGTCGAAGATTACTAATTTAAAGTCTTAGAACAGCTTATATATTAGGTAAAAAAAAAACCAAAAAAAAAACCAACGATTTAAATACTGTAATTTAAACGCAAAAAACAAAAAAAAAAAAAGTTTCAAAAAAATACACCTCATTTTGTATTTATAATATAAATTATAGACCATTTTATTAGCTTTATTCAATAGCACAACGTTACTTATACATAGCTTACGAGACTTTAACAATGGAAACTCTATTAACAAAGCCTATTTCATTCAGTTTTTTTTCTTTTTTAAAATCAAAAGAAATATTACTAAAGCAAAAAAAAAAAAAAAAAAAAGACTGCCAAATACGATAACTATGACAAAGTATGATTCTCCAAAATGTTAATTATGCTGTCATCAAACTATAAAATGTTAATTGTGCTGTCATCAACTATAAAGGTTTAGTCGATATTCCAAAATCACCTTCGCTGACAAAACGTTTTCGACCCCTAAAAAAATAAATAATACGTTATTTATTGTTCAAATTCACACTACAATTGCACATATGTATAATAGTACAACATATGTATAATAGTACAACATATGTATAATAGTATACACTATGTAGCAAAAGCCATTAAACCTTTAAAATGCGCGCTCGAATTAATTCGAATGAGCATATCATTTCATAGAAAAGCATTAATATCCCATTGAAAAGTTAAAAACTGTTAATTCATTAAAGAATTTAATAAAATATGTTAACAACAAATAAGCATAATTTGTTGATTCATGTGAATGTGAATTGATAGCATGAAATAATATAAATGACGTAGATCACTACTAAATAACAACTTATTTAAAAACTATATTAAAAGTTCATGAACTTAGGACACAATAAAAACTCAAGACATAAAACAAATGCGCATTATGAAAATATAAAAGATTATTTCTTATAATTATACCCGACATTGTATTTCTACTTATGTCAACCAAATTCAAACATTGCATTTCGTGCAGCTTAAAATACAATACTGAAAGTTTTTTTGTATTTAAATTATGTAAAAACATTTTGGGCTAGCAACAGAATAACTAAACCCTCACAATTTATTTCTTCAAAACAATAAAAAAAAATCCAACTTTGGAGCAAGCCTGAAAATATTTTATACATCTGCTGTTGGAAAGATAGTGCGCTAATTCATTTTTAACAACAACAAAAAAAGTACTTTATGTGTTTTTTCCCCCAGTTGTTGGACCAATTTAAAACTTATTGCAATGTCTCTTCTTTTTCCCCAAAAATAGTATGAGTTTAAGTCAGCAAAAAAAATTGGCCAATGTGTATCTATATACACTATATAGATATGCTATATAGATATACAAGATGTTTTAAAATATTTTTTTAGAATCAGAATATGTATACACACAATCTTACTCTATAAAGTAAATTTTAAAATGTCCTAACATTTCTTGAACAAAAATGCAATTTTATTTTTAAAAAAGAAAAAAAAAATAAACTCTACAGGTCATTTTTCTGACAAAAGAAAAAAAAAATTTGACAATTAGTTTTTATTTTATAGCCTTTAAATTGGTTGTGACAGTGCATGACTAACGCGTGCAGTCATTAAACTGTTTTACAGGGAGTGAAAGACTTCAAGATGTAAAAAAATAAAAAAAAATCTAAGCAAAAACACTGTTGACCTCCTAACAACTACGTAAAAAAAAAAAAAAAAAGAAGCAAAACACCTAGCATACAGCAAAACAAAAAATATTGTATAAACAGTGTTAAATGAATTCAATCACAAATATAAATCTTTTAGAGCAATAAGAACCAAAGAAAAATAATTGATATTGCTGGCATTTTAAAGTAAAACATACCTTGAGGGTGCTTTTTGTCTCAAAGATAATGGAATAATATGTACGCGACAACACATGTCAAGTAAACTATCCAAGTACTTATAAGCTCGAGGAATATCAAGAACCAAATCACTGATGATATCAAAAACACGCTCAAAACCCTTGGTTAAATAAAAGATAGTAATAAATAATTAAAGTTAATAAATACTTTAAAGTTGATAAAAAGTTAAACAATTTTTTTTAGAATAAAAAATTACTGAAATCATTTGATCTTCAGTTATCATTGTTGCATCAGATAAATGATGAAGTAAATTTGCAATAGCTTTAATGGTATAATCTGAGCCACTTTCCAAAGCTATGATAACAGCTTCATACACTATTTCATGGTGAAAATGTGGGACATCAAGATCCATAACGCAACGCCCAAATTCACTTAAATCATTTGATAACAAATACTCTTTGATCATTAAATCAATCTAGATATATATATAAAAAAATTTAATTCTATGAAACTTAATTCTATTTTAATTCTGAAAAATATAAAATTTATTTTATAGTTTTACAATGTTCAACAAATCTCCATACGTGTAATAAAACAAAAATAAAAATAAAATGAGAAAATAGATTAAAAATTGACTATTAAGCCGGCTTGTGGAGCCGCGAATTTTTTTGGTGGAGCTGGAGCCGCAAAAAATCGAGCAGCTCTTGGCTCTCATGTTATTTTAAAGTAATAAAATGTATGTTTTTTTTTTTTTTTACTATAGACAAATTTTATTCATTCATTGTTTCAACTAATTTTTTGAATAAATTATTGAATTTCTTTTTTTTTTTTTAACAGTTAGTCTCGCAAAAACATGATAAAAATGAATATTATAGCAATTTTGTACTCAACAAAATACTATCCTTTAATAGCCTTTCTTAATATGTTTTATTACGAAAAAAAAAGTCAAATATATGTGGAAACATTCTGACAGTATTACATATATTCTTTATATTACATTTTTATATTACATTTTTATATTTGATTTTTTATATTGAGTCTCTTAAACATCTTTAGAGCGTTTTTACGTCTTTTGAACAATCAAAAGACGTCTTTGTTATGTACCATGCCTACTAGGTGGAATTAAAACTATATTTACACAAGACATTTTTCTTTTTAAATGTAGTATATAGTAGTAGAGTAGTGATAGTAATGAAAGTTAATTAAAAATGAATTGCTGTAATTGGTTTGGATTTGGGTTGACAAATGTGATAAAAAAAAATATTCCAAAATTTGTGATTTTTGTTCATAAATAATGGGAGCCGGAGCTGAGCCATTGCCAGACATTTCTTAGGAGCCGGAGCCAAGCTGTAAAAAAACTTTTGGCTCCACAAGCCTGCTACTAAGAGCAACAGGTTTCATGTTCATTCATAAAACCTTAACTTTACCTAAAGGCCAATAAAAAAAAAAAACTTAAGGTGAAAATAACAGTAAAATTGAGCATAATACATTAAGCTGAATGTAAGTTGAATTGGTCAAACTTGCTTAATTAATAAAACCATAACAACATGAGTTAAAATAATTATTATATTCCTGATACAAATCTTTGAAAAAACTTGTTTCGCTCTGGCACCAACTATCATATTTTTAACTTCTGATTCAATATATATCTAAAAAATTTTATTAATAACTTTATAAGCTATTCTAAAAAAAATAAACATTGTTATGGTGAATTATCCTTAATAATTTGTAATGTGAAATATTAAAAACTTTAGATTGTTTCTGTAAAACGTGAAAAATCTCTTTTGCTGATTTTATATCTATCTTTAATATTAAAAATTTTGGAATTGACTGTTTAACTCACTTTTTTTCTTTTTTAAATCTACTTGATGTATACTTCGATTGCAATGGTATACTTAATGTAGTTAAGACCAAGCTTGGTCGGGAAGCGGGTGGGATCGCACTCGATAACTGACCAGAGAAATAATATTTAGTTGAGAAAAACTGGCCAGATTTTTCTCAACTAAATATTATTTCGTCAGATTAAAATAATAGACTATTTTAAATTTTGTTCTGACAAAATTTAAAATAGTCTATTATTTTAATTTTTTAAATATTTCAATTTTTTGTCATATTATAATTCTGAGACCTGATCATTTAATGGAAATATGTTGTGGTTAGCAAAATATCATATCAACTCTGTAATATTTTAAAATCGCCTTAACTACACAGAGTAACTATACTAAACAAGTATACAACAAATATACAAGGTTTGGTTGTTTCAAAAATGTAATCTATTACTGGTGTACTTTGGAATATTTCCATTAGGCTGAGCATAATAGAGAACACCCATTCAAAATTTAAAAAATTCTAGCACATAATACTTCATTTAAATGTTTTTTCAAGATTTTGGCCCTAAAATCCATATCCTTTTCCAGCATCAGTATCAAAAAAGTACTTAAATTCTGGTATTAATGATATTTCCAAAGTGATAAAAAAAATTATCTTAGAGAAAACCACCAAACTTATAAACATAAAATTATGTCATCTAAAACTAAATACTATATAAATATGTGTACTACAACTTAATCCAAAAAACCAGTAATAAATTAAAAAAAAGCATTAACACTATAAATACCATACTCAACACCATTGAGAATAATATATTCAGAACAAAAGACAACAAAAGCAAAGGCTTCCATAACACATTTTTTAAATACAATTTCCAAATTACAAAAACTTTAAAAGGCCAGTCATAACAATGATTGAAGCACAAATAATAACAGGTTTTTGTATAAACATGAATACACAGTTAAGCAATTAACTTTAAAAAAAAGCTAAAAAAAAAACCAACAAAGTATTTATGCCAACTAACAAATAACTATATACTAAAATAAAAAAGTACTTGTAGGCTTACCAAGTTTCTAGTTATTATATAAAAAAAATTCTTATGAAAGACAATCCATAAAAGGCATTACTAAATTGCAAAATTGATTAATTAATCACAAAATCAGAAGACTTTAAAGAAGGAGAAACAACTTTAAATGATAAAACAATAGAAATAAAAGAAGACAGTTGCACAACATTTGTTTATAAAAAAAAAAAAATTTTCCTAAGTTTTTTGACTTGTTTTTCCATAAACTTAACCTCTTTTTTACTTTTTTTTGTGAAATTTAGAAAACTAATAACTTTCTTTTAAATTTCACAAAGTCCCATTGCTATGATGATAAAATTTTATTACTCACGAAGTACCCAAGTAAAGTTTTTAAACAATTAACTAATTTTTGTTTTGTCAACTCCATCAAGACATCAGAGTCAAAAATACAGGATGCTTTTATCAATAAATAATTCAATAGAGATTAATCACAAAAGTTTTTCATCATTAAAAAACAAATTGCTTGACCACCTTAAAAAACTCTTTGCTTTGAGACAATGTAATCAAATTATTTTTTTCAGTTCGTCAGAAACAGCAAATCCAGAGTTAAACTTTTCATCAGGTAATAGATTATTAGTCAAAGAAAGATCTTTTCAACAAAGAAAGGTTTTTCAACATTTTCCAGCTTCTATATTTTTCAAGGACATCCGGTTTTGCAATAAATTCAAGCAACTTTATTATTGTCTTTACATCAATGATTAAAAATGGAACCATTTAATAGTCTGTACGATATTTTTTTAGGACAGGTTTAACTATATTTACAATATAAGCAAAGAAATATAACTCGGGAAGCAAAAATGTAACTTGGGAAGTGATCTTGAAGTACCTTTTTTGATGTCTCCTAGTTTTTACATTATGGCTGTTTGAATTTAGGTAAGGATTCATTCCAGAAAAAAAAAAAATTTTTCAAACTTTTCCACACTTCGATCACCCAGATAACTACTTTTTGCTTTCACACAGTCTAAAATATAAATCAAATACCATTTGGAAAGATAAAATATAAATCTATCTAAACTGTCATGTAAAAATTTGATTGTCCCAAGCATGCGAATTTATGTTTTAATTGTAGCTAGTACAGTAAAAGTTGTTACATTGTTAAGCATAAGTTAGGAGGACAAAACAACCAGTAACAGAATTATAGTCTTCTCTCCTTGTAGGACTATTATGTAAAATAAAATAAGCAACATTAAAATTATTTTTAGACTCTATTCTGTGACAGCCTCTCCAGCTTTTAAACTGCCATATAACAATATGCTAATTGCAAGTTCCTATGTTAATAAGAAAATGTAAAACAGTTTTAACCAAGCTGGTGCTGAATTCATCAAAAAATTTTAGATTGACATGTGGACCATCCATTTATAAAGTACATGAAATAAACGTGAAAGAATAAATAAGTTATTTTCTTTCAACCGTTGTATTAATATATTTTAAATTTTATTTGTATTTTGTTTACCACATGTGGCTATTTCAATAAAATATTTTAATTTTCCCATTTAACTTAAAATAAGTTTTAAAAATGACAAAAAAAGAAGACGTTAGAGAAAGATTTTTGCACAAATATTTGGAAAATCCGAATAGAGGCTAAAATTCAACAGCAAAAATGTTGCAAGTATTTCCCTAAGATAGATCAAGCGCCAATCTAGTGGTAGAAAAAAGGAGATTTTTCAAGATATAAATTGGGTTAGAAAACTAGTTAACAGTTTTTAGATTAGCATTAAGAGCATGAGAAAAAGATCTTTCTCATAGTTTTGTTGTAAAAGTTCGAAATGAACATGAATTTCATTCTTTCAAATCACAAAGTCCCCAACCGTTCTAAAAACTTCTGAATTATTAAAGATAATGAAACTTATATCAAGTATGACCATCAGCAAACTCCTTGTGCTGCCTTACTAAATTGACAAATATAGAGAAAAAGCAGATTCAAATACACAAAACATATTAAACTTGCTAAAAAAGCCTATAAAAAGATTTGGCATAAAAAATGTGCCTAAAACACCAAATGTTCCAATAAACTGCACTATTTAACTGAAAGTCTATCAACGGCAATATTCAACTGCCGAGAATTATTATTATTTTTTTATTAGTTTTTATTAGAGTTATTAAAATGTACTGGGCAATTATTGAACGAAAAATAAATTATTGAAAAAAAAAAAAAAAAAAAAACCGGGGAAAAGTTTATAATTTGAAAATATCATTAAAAAAAGCATCAAATAGTTTTGATGTTAGAAGTTCTGTGCACAAGCTTATGGGTAACACAAAAACAGAAATAAATTATTCTCTTGGAAGTATTTTTTCTAATATTAATATATTTAAATTATAATCTAGTTCTAAATAGATGGGTACCCTTTTTTTCATTAGTTTTTCTACGTTCACATTTAGTTTGTGTACATGCTTTATTTGGTAACGCTTTTGTTTTTTCCAAATTTTTAAACAGTATCCCTAAAATGAGTCAATAAGTCATGGTATGCTGTATGACACACCAAGACTCATTGAAACTTAATCCAAATAATGAACATTTACACGGTTTCTATTAACTTTCCAGAATCCAATATGTCATTTCAGAAGTTAGGGTGACCTCATTTAAATTCTGATCAAAAGAATAGACATGGATGTTGACAGTTTTAAATTTTCTATTTTAAAACGAGGAGCTAAACTGCTATTCAACTCATAGGAAGTTTTGTCTTAAACCATCTGAAATTGTGAAGCTATGGCAATTTCTGGAAACAGCTGTAAAAACATGGCTCAAGTCATCATTTGAAAATAGAGAAAATCCCCTATTCATAAGCTCCCAAATATCTGGGAGCTTAAGAATGTGAATAGGGAGCTAAAGAAGTCATTAGTGACTTCTAGTTTTTGGCACACAAGTCTAATGTACTTTGTTTTTCTGTATTTGATTCATTAGAGTCAGAAAAGACAGATGGTAAAGAACTTTTCTATTTTGGTTTTGCAAAGAATGCTTTCACTTTTCTTATTTTTATATTGTGCTCTGCTCTTGTTGTGTGGTCTGTCAAGGCACCACAACAAGAGCAGAGCACAATATAAGCGCCAATTTAAAGAGAGTTTAAAAGGAATAAATATTGTTAGTAAGATTTAAAAAAAATAAAAAAATCAAGAATTAAACACTAAGCTACTGAACAACAAATTTTAGAAATAGAAAAAATTTCCAGTTTTTCCAGCATCAATTTTGCTCAAAGCATACATTTTCCAGTTTTTCCAACATGTTTTTTAAAAACTGCCTTTTCCCCCAGCTTTTCCAGAAGAGTGGACACCCTCCTGGAAATAATAAGTTGTCACAAAGATATAAAGATACTTTATATATATTTTGATGAGAAAAGCTTTTTTTCCTGGTAATTTAACAGGATAAATTATTTGCTAATAACTTAATTAAAAAATAAATTTATTGGTATCATACAACAACCTAATAAAATAGGACACATATAGTCTTATTTTAACAACTACGATATACTCTCTACTATGTACTATGAATAAGACACTAAATTAATTTTAAGCAGCTTTTATCTAATTATTATAAGCATAATTAGTGTATAATACAGTTCAAAAAACTATCTTTTTATACTATCTATAAATACAAAAGCTTTAAAAAAATAACTTACTTCTTTTACTAGAGTTTTAACAGGTCTTGTACCACCACCTAAACCCCATACTGTGTCTAACCTTACTAATCCATGCTTCATTTGAAGGTAGCTGTTTGCAACATCCAAACTGACCCTTAAAAAATATTTATTTTTTATAAAAATAAATTCATTAAAATAAAAAATCATTAAAGAACTTAGACGACCTATGTGTATACTCTCAGGTCAGAGACTAATTCTAACTATATCCAGGGTGTCTGCCAATACTTCAAGGTGACTTTCCTAATTTTACCCTCTGCCTGTTTTCCCTGATTTAATTTAAAGTTACCCAAACTCAGAAAAACTAGACAAATTCTTTTGGAAAAATCCTCTTTAATTACAAAAATGTAAACATTAATACAACCCACATTTAAAGTATAAAGAGTCCATTTATGTCAAATAAAATTTTAT